GGGAATTACGTTAACTTACCTGCGCCTGGCTACTTTATGAGGCAGTGGATTTTACCCCGTACCTACCTGTCTGGTTCTGTTCAGGAGAATGAGGAAGAAAGGTTCTGGTGATCTATTTCTGTGTTTTTCTTCCCCTGGTATTTTTTGTACCAAAAGGTCACTGTTGCAATAGGCAGGGGGCATTCATCCTCCCCGTCCCTTCCTGCCATCTCCTTCTCCCCACCCAGTGCCCTAGGGCTGTCTCTGTTGGTGCAACAGGGAGTAGAGTTTTAAATGAGATTACAACTAAAATAGTCTTCATTATTGCATGTCTTTGTTTGTTGTGGGTGTGACCCACATTTACCATGCACCTTAGTGGAATGTAACCTCTTATCCCTTGAACTAATCCCTTAGTAGAGAACTTGGGAGCCAGAGGGCTGCTCTACCATGTGCTGCTCTCCAGAAGAGGTGAGGGGGAGACTAGCCTGCATGAATCTGCAAAAGAAAGTGCGTGACTTAGCAGATCCACTGCAGGATCTAGGCCCATGATGCCCAACCAATTCTGAAGCAAACTAGCCATTCTCAACCCGTCAAATAGCCACATGTGGCTATCGTGTTGCACACCACGGATCTAGGGAAGAAGGGATTAAGTTAACAACCTTTCTGAATCATTGCAAAATTCCCTTTCTCTCTTCCCACCAGCAACTTGAGTAGGAAGTCCAGACTTTCAGGCACTGAACTTGCTCCTTGCAGGATTGGAGCATTACTGCCAACTGGTGTACAACAGCAAAAATGGGAAATTCTCTCAACATCTGAGCCGCTAATGTGACAAGTTAATCTGACTGGTTCCATGCTGCAGCTACCCACATGCCTCTTTGATACCGTATAACCCCCTGCCTCTCCATCACCATGATTATGGTGTCCCTACAACCCACTCACCTCCATCCTCCTAATTACCATACCTATGGTACCATTCAATCCCCTCTGCTCAATCACCATGGCTATGGTACCATATAGCCCCTGCTATCCCGTCACTGTGGTTACAGTACAGAATATCTCCTTGCCCCTCCACCATCCCTGATATAACACCACAGCTAATGTGGCCGCGTTCCCTTGCAGAGTTAGGCACCTGGCCCAGCACAGATCCAGCTAATGTGTTTATACGACTTGTCTGAGAATTGTTCCTGGTGTGTTGCCAAACAGCAGGAAGTTGAATTAGAAACTTCTAATGTCTAAAAACAAATCAAAACATTACAGAGGTGAAACATCAACACTTCTTATCCCATAACCTAGCAATGAAAAATAAAAGGCCCTATTGACACACTCATCTATCAAAAGTAGGCATTTCCATTTGGTACCCAATTACTAAGACCATCAATAGAAGATTAGTGAAAAGTATAACACATGGAAGTTAGATAATCTCAGAGAGGTAGCCATGTTTGTCTGTAACTCTCAAAACAACAAGTAGGCCTTCGACAACTGAGACTAACCAAAATGTATAGGATCATGAGCTTTTATGGGCAAAACCCACTTCATTGGATGGAGTGGAATTCATCTGATGACGTGGGTTTTGCCATGATTTTATATATTTTAGTTAGTGCCTAGAATGCCACGGGACCACTCATTTTTATGAATGTTAGATGACCTTTATGTAGGATTTCCAATCAGTATTGTTTTGCATTAATGTATGCGTACTAGGAGATTGACTCTTAGAAGTTTCACTTGATTAGAGTTCTCTAATAATACAGTGCATTGAATGAGTAGGGTCTTAATTTGAAAATATTTTGTGAAAATCTGCACTGCATTTGTGGAAAATGATATCTTTAGAGTCTAGGATAAGGAGTATTTGACTTTAAGAAGCTGAGCAACAGTGACACTGGAGAGGTAGAAAATAAAATGTACATAACGAATAGAGAATATAGAAATTTAATCTTTTTTATTCTTCTTTAGAGGAGGGATTGTCATTTACTGTGACCTTGGTTTAAATGACTGTGCACCCAATGTGACAAAGAGAGAGAGACAAACAGAAACATTTTCTACTCCATGACCCAAATATGGACAAGTGCAAGAAAAATCTTTCATCAAAATGCTGAGGAATGAGAGAGACCTCTTCAAACAGTGACGCGGAAGAACTGTGAGAAAAAGAGATGGCATCATGGGGTGGAGTGACCAGACATCAAAAGCAAAAGGACACAAAATATTAATCCCCACACCAGTGTTGTCTTCAAGTCGTCATTGTCAAGTCCAAGTCTAGTCTCAAGTCACTACAGTTCAAGTCTCAAGTCAAGTCACGTAGGCAACTGAAGTCCGACTTGATTTAAAGTCATGGGACTCGAGTCAACAACTCTGCCCCACACACAGAATATAAACCTTCCCTGGGTGGGTCATACCCACTTGTGCAGATGGCTAAGGGAGGTCTTGTCGTTTCCCTATGCTTTGTCCAGGTTTACATAATGGGTCATGACAAAGAGTCTTGTTGAATTTAATTTAAAATTGTGCTTGCGCTCCCCCTCCCATAAAGGAACCCTCACCTGACTAAGGCCTCTTACTACAGCTTGCTTACTGGATGACAATAATGGATCAAAAACAGAAGTGCAGGAAAATCTAGCCACAGCCGGCAATCTTTTCTCAACAAAATATAAAGCACAGAAATGCACAGCTCATGTTTTGTTCCAGCTTCCTAGTTTGCA